CCAGATTTCCACGACAAGGACACCAAAAGACCTCAGAAATTGCCTCAGGTAGCAAGCTTTTGCCCTCCTTGCCACTAGAAACACTTGGCAGCCCAGGGTAACACTCATTTACTTGCAAAACATTTTAAAGGATGATGATAGAAGGTCATGATCAATATCTTCTCAAAAAGAAAAAAAAGAAATGGAAGAGAAAATCAGCTTTCAGAAATCTTAGTATGATTCCCAACTAGGCTAGATCAGCCCAATAATACTTATTCATTGAATTGGATGGATAACAAATCAGCATTAAGTAGAATAGATCTGCCAAGATTTCTTTAGAGATCTATTGTCAGTGTTGGTAGGAAGACAATATTTGGATTCTAATAACTCAGTACCTAATGTAATAGATGAGGAAATAGAAGTAGTAATTAAGAAGATTGTCAAGAAGAATTGTTGCATACCATTGAGTGCATAGAGAAGGAATCTGTCCTAGAAGTGACACAATTTCAAGTTGCAAAGGGATCAATTTTCAATCTACTTCCGATTAAAAAATGGAGACTATCATAGATGATATAAAAAGGTGACTGAGCAACTTCTTATTCGTATGCCTACTTACTTGACTCTACAAAATCATTATGGGAATAATTTATGCATGTATCAAGTTTATGCATGTCTCTGTGATGAAAAACCTAAAAATAGAGCATATATAGGTTTTTGCAGATGATTATAGCAGAACACATCTTCACATTTAAATAATTATGAAAGAAAAAGGAAATATGCATTTATTAAGCATCTACTATGTGCACTAAGTACTTTATAAATATTATCTCATTTGATCCCCACAATAATGCTGGGAGGTAAGTACTATTATTTGCCACATTTAATAATTGAGGAAACAGAGGCAGACAGGGTTAACTGACTTGCACAGGGTTATGTAGCTTAAAGTTCTCTAAGATTAGATTTGAACTCACAAAATTCCTAAATTGACTCAACCATTGAGGTAACTTTGCCCAGTGATCCTGAGGCTGAAAATCAAGTGAGACATGGAAGAAGGATATGTACTCTGATAAAAAAGTTCACTAATGTTGTGGAGGATGTCCTGTGTTGAGCACAAATGGAATAGAGATTTCCAATGAATAGTAGGGTCCAACAACTAAGAATGACATTGTACTGATTGTATCAAAGCCCAGAATATGACAGTGTTGTCAGTGGAATCCATAATTATTCAAAAAAGATTGGTAACTAACAACAACCTGACCAGAAAAAACCAACAACAAATGGATGAAGAATGCCTATTGTCCTGCCATTATGACATGCAGTTGGATGGGCAACCCACTGTGTTATTAGATTTGGTTGGGTATTCTAGCATGTCAAGATTTTCTTTTTGTATCTCAACTGCCAGCCAACATATTAGTTCTCTACCCCATTTTTATGTAATCCATAAATATGATAAGCATGTCATCTATGCCTTCATACAACTCATTGATAAGAATGTTAAGTAGCATAGTGCCAAGCAGAGATATTGATGGCATTCTTCTGTAGACTTCATTAATATCAATGCATTAATGGACTAGAATACCAATTATATAACATTATCCACCAGTTAGTATAGTAAGTATGTGAGTAGCCAACGTAAGCTAACGATATAAATAGGCTAAGAGTGTAAGGGAGAACATCTAAGCCACTTGTCAAAACTGCCTCCTAGATTGATTAAGGCCACATCCAGAGATGATATGATGAATTAAGAGAAGCCAGTGAGGCCCCAATAAGTGGCCTTTGACTTGTAAGCTGCAGATAAGCACCAGACTGGCATTAAAACCAGAGAAACATTATGTTAATGAGATAACCTTAAAATGGTGCAGATAAGATTTAGACCATCCCCCACTAGAATTCTATAAGAATAGGACCCCCAAACCCTGTCCCTTGAGCTCCTCCAACTGTAGTGGATCCATGTTGCTCTAGGGCTTTCAACTCAAATCTGCAGTTATGTGACTCTATGTGTCTCTTCCTCCCCCATCTATTACCCATGCTGTCTGCCTCCCTCTCCCACCCTTCTCTCTGTACTCTCCCCATGCCATCTGCCTCTGTATTTTCTGTGCCTTATTAACATGATTGAAGCATTATTTCTCACTTGCTGCCAGTGTGATCTTTCCAGAAGAGAATACAAAGAACCAAGATTGTTTGCTTTGGCCCAACTGGGACCCTGTTGTGGTTTCTCCCCCAGACACCCAGGGTAGGACTTAATTTGTCAGCAGCTAAATCTACCATGGGGGAGCTTGGCACTAAAAATACTCTGGTAGAAAACAAGGACTGATGAAGGAACCCTGTGCCCCTCCAGATAGGGACCTCTCCTTGTGGTTGGTCTTAATAGAACAGTTGTTGAGGTGTGTATAGAGCACTGGACTCTGAGTGAGGAAAACCTGAGTTCAAATCCTGTCTCAGATTCTTACCAGCTATGTGATTTTCTGCAAACCACTTAATCTCCATAAGCCTTTGTTTCCTCATTTGTAAAACAGGGATAATAATAGCACCCATCAGGGCTATTGTGAGGTTCAAATGAGGTAATATATGTAAAGTGGTTTTCAAACCATAAAGTGTTATATACATATTAGCTGTGATGATGATGTGATATGGATCATACTAAATATTGGCAATACCAATACGGAAGAATGACAATCCTCACCTGAAGGGAGTAAGATTTTAAAAGAGAGATATACATATAGGAGAGTGGTGACTAGGGATGGGTATTTTGATCTATGGGGTTCTATAACCCCAATTAACATGCCTTTTCCTCTTTTTCATTCAATTTCCTCAATTGTAAAATAGGATAATAACCTCTAACTTTCAGCATTGTTGTGAGGATCAAATGAGATAGTATTTGTAAAGCAACTAACACAGCCACTCCCTCACTCCCTCCTTCCTTCTCTACTTCTTTTCTTTCCTTCCTTCCTCCTTCCTTCCTTCCTTCCTTTTTTTCCTCCTTTCATGGCAGTGTTAACTTGATTATGGTTCCCAGAGCAAGAGATAAAAAGGGAGGGTAAACATTATGTGCATGGTGGTATGCCAGAAGAATGATCAGAGTCTGGGCTAGGTCAGTGCTGGGCTTTCACCATTCAGGGCAGCAGGACCCCAGAATAGGAGCTATGGTAGCAGAGCTACATGGCAGGAAGATGGCTAGGGTGAAGTAAGGTGGAGGAGCGTATATGACTGGTGGATTCATCAGGTAGACCTGGGAATGGGCCCAGGACTAGAATCCAGACCTCCCAGTTCCTAGTTCAGTGTCATTTCCACCATACCATGTACTGCCCTATTGGAAACATGTAGAATTTTGGAACCCAAACATACAAGGCTTTACTTCAAGATTAGAGGAGGATACACAGCATGCAGTTGGTCCACCAATAAAAATAGGGCCACTCTACCAATTTTCTTCTATTATCTCTTCTTTCTATTATGGAGTAGTCTTTAAGAAAAATCTAAGTTTTTCAAAAATGAAAGCATGATGTTTGACAGACACCTGTGAATTTTCAAATGTATTTGAGTGTTGCAGCAAAAATCCACTCATGATGATCTTAAAGAACCTATTAGTGCTACTTTGTAAAGAGGGGGGAGAGGATTGGGGAGATCCTGATTAATTTGTGGTCACCCCAATTTCCACTCACTCCTTTCTCCCAGCCCTCAATTCTACTCCTCTGGTAATGATGTACGCACTGGCTTTGGACTTAATTGCCTTCAGGCTAGGAGTTGGTACCAACTGGCAAGATTGTTGAAAATAATGATGTTGTATTGGACATAACTGACAGACTGCCAGGGAAGATAAGCTTCCCCAGCAAAAAAGATATTTGAAGATACTGTGACTGTTCACGACATCATAAAGTAGCACCTGGGAGAGCAACTCCCACAGTCTTTCATTGTAGAGGTCATGAGGGGAAAGGCTGGAGGCTCTCAAAGTCATCCAGTGGGGTGGTCACAGTGAATGAGTGCTTTTTGGATGGTGATTAACATGATTTACAGTCAGTGAAGGGAAAGGCTGGCAATTCAGAAAAATGAGCTACTAAAGGCTGTATTTATACAGTATAGGAGGCATGAGGGACTCGGAAAAATGAGCAAGATACAGGTTCTCTTTCTGACTTTGTTGGTAACAGACTATGTTGGATGATAGGAGTCAATTGAACAAATGTATATTGAGCATCTAAAATATGTCTGCACCTGTGATTCATGAGGTACTGTGCTAGGTAATGGGATGTGAAGATTTTTAAGAAAATGACACAGCTCTTTCCCTTAAGAAGCTTATATTCTGTGGGGAATGAGGATGGGAGGAATATGATGTATATGCAGATACACATAATGAAAATTAAAATGAAATGGGATCTTTGATAAAAGCTACTACAATTTAATAATTAAAGCTAGTTGAAAATTAGGAGTTAGCTTTAGAGCTCAGAAGTCTTATTTGATGACTTCTGGTTTTTGAGTGGATTCCTTCCTTCCTTCCTTCCTTCCTTCCTTCCTTCCTTCCTTCCTTC